AGCAACCGAGTCACTGAAGAGTGAGGACAAAGAGCATACACAGACCTTGCGTTGGAAATGAGGATATGGAATAAATGCTGAAAAGTCTTTTCATAGCGGGATGTTTTGGGAATGCTTCCCGCTTAAGGTTGCTTGAGGACTTGAAAGTGTCACAATAAACTTTTCTTTTGTCCACTGTCATTCACTTCCTTGTCCACGCGGAATCAAGAGTCCGCCACAAGATGGCCGACTGCACTTGCTTGAATACTGCTGACCGGGCAGCTCCGAACGACACCTGCACCATCTTAATGAGATGGAACACAAGACCTGCATGACAAATTCCGCCTTGTCAAAGATAATAACGCTGCCGTTTATTCAAAGTGTTTGACAGCGTTGCGAACTCCGGTCACAATAATAAACACGTTCTGAAAGCAATCCCTCTCTCACAGACTCAATCAAACCCGAACATTATTATTCTCAGAAATTCATGCCTGAAATGAAGTTTTAAGGAGATATATTCAGTCACTGGGATAAATGGAGCGTGCGACGTGGTGGTAACACTCCTGTGATCTTTAATAGAACACAATCAGAGGTACTTCTTGCACCCCGCACTTAAATCAGACGCGCTTGCAGATTGTGTGATTATTTAAGTGCCGTTAAAAAGTCAATTCTCTCCGCCGAGTCTAAATGGATCATTGAAACGAGCAAGCAAAGTCTTATTACTGTCTCTATTGCTCATCTATCGGCGGGGGGAAAGTTGTGAGGGGATGATAGCGATGGCGCAAGACAATGAGAGAGATTACGCGCATCATGTCAAATGCAGGACAAAAGCCCACCTCGGGGTACGTACCACAACCTCCACCCCCACAATATAGCTCGCTAAAAATCACGACAACCGAGCTCGCTAACTTTCATTTGGAGCCAAGAGGAAAGGCCAAATGCATGCGGCCTTCGATGCCTGATACTATTCTGCCCCACTGTCGTACGGTGTTCCACAGAGTTCAACGTTGGGGCCCCTGCTCTTTTCTTTGTATTTGCTGCCCCTGGGTTCCATCTTAAGAAAGCATCGTATTTCTTTCCACTGCTATGCAGATGGCAGTCGGATCTATGTCAAGCAAAAAGGACGATTTCTCCATCAAGGCCACTGGATGGTACCAAAATTCCTGAACTTGGACGAAAGAAACCAGAGGTTATGGTATTTGGTTCCAGTGGCCTGGTACATCTCACACTTTTGACTTGGGGCCCCCTGGCATCTTATCTCAAGTCAACAGTCTCAGATTTGGGTTTTAAATTGCACAGTGATTTGAAATTGGATCCGCGAATTGGTGCTCTGGTTAAATCCATCTTTTTTGACAAAGATGAAGAGTCCAGCTTGTTCCAATCAACTTGGTGCCGACTAAGTAGGCCCTGAGCCACAAAACGAGAAACAGACGCAATCAAGCTGTGCGCTAATGTTTGAATAAAGTCATATTAGGGTAACTCTTTCTCCAAGCTCGACTGGGTTCTACCGCCAAGAAAACTGCGTTAAATGGTAGAGTGGAGGATTAGGAAGTGGTGTCCAGCATTATGCAGGAAGACACACAGGAGATGAGACGGTCTCTCACAACTCAATGGAGTCTCAGTGAACAAAGTCCTCAAAGACGCGGGGACGGTGAGTGGATTATTTTTGTAATTAATCAAATTATCGCCGGGCAAAATGCTATTTGTTTGCCTCTTGGTTTGGCTACAAAACGCATTCGCTCGGTCTCACACACACACAAACGTAGAAATTCTTTTTGTGCAGTTTTGTTTTTTTTAGAGAAGTAACCGAGCCTGGCAAGCGAAGTAAAAAGAGATGAGCGAGACCATAAAAGGGATTTTTGAGGGCATCGGCAGTCATACATCACATTTTATTGCAGTGGGCTGGCACTCACTTCTTCCATGATTCACTTATTTGTATTTTTTCCTTCTTTTCTTCTCGCTTATCGGGACATCTCCGTGACAACGTCGCAGCGGTGTCAGTGCCGCGACGGGCCTCCGTTACCGCGTTAGCATCGAGCCGCTCCCGATGGATCTCGAAAGGAAATTGAAGTATTGCAAGATTGCGAGGTGTGTGTGTGTGTGCGTGCGAACCGGGTTGACGCGCGGAGATGAATGGCGCTGCGGATGGAATAATTATGAGCGCGCAGGCTGCTACCATGCCCAGGAAGCCTGCCGCTAACGAGGCTGGGATGAGAGGTTGACATGCCGCAGCATCGTCTGGCAGAGCTCCCCGAAACACTCAATCAGGAAGAACGAATTAACCAATTCTTTGTCAGGCGTTTCCAAAGCAGAGTTTGATCTTCTAAGACAGTGGTCCCCAACCCTCGGGTCGCGGACCGGTACTGGTCCGTGGGTCATGTGGTACCGGGCCGCACAGAAAAAATAAATAACTTACATTAGAACAACTTACTTTTTATTTATTTCGGAATCTGAAAGATGTTTTATTTTGAAAATGTACCGGATTCTCTGTTACATCCGTCTACAGCATGTCGTTCTTGACAGGACAGAGGTCAAGGCGCGCTTCTCAGTCACGTGATAGGTTACCGCTAAAATGAAACCAAGGAGCTAGCACAATGAGTAAAAAACAAAATAAAACATATGTCTTTGGAAAGTTTCTATGGGAAAGGGAAAAGGCCCAGCAAGGAAACTTTCAAGAAAAAAGGCTACATTTCATAGAGTCTCAGGAGTCCTACTTAAAATACGGATTTACCATAACGGGAGATTCCCACGCTCGAGCCCACTCTGCATTATATGTTGTGATGGTGAGTCGTATTTTTCATGCATTTTGTATTTGTGGTGTATCTTATTTTGAAGGCGTTTAAACATTACCATAGCGACCAGAGAGTGAGATATGGGAATCGCCTGCTACCTGCAAAATTTGTTGCTGTTGTTGTTGTTGTTTATGCTCAAAATTGGCAATTTAGTCGTCTCCAGTTCAGTTCAGGTCGGAAGTAGAACTCACGAGGTGAAGCGTGCACTTTGTCTGCGTGTTCCAAGCTAGCTGGGAATGACCCCGCCCCCGACACACATGCCCCCACGCAGAAACCCCGCGACGACGCCTCCCTCCCATCGATCCAGCGTGACTCTGCAGGAGCCAGAAGAACAGCTCTCGCTATGATGAGGGAAGCCTCCCACGTCGCTCTTCAGAACCGACATGAGGTCCTAATAGGTTGCTGACGTGATCTCCTTCCAAGGAATGAAGTAAGATCGGCAGCCTCCCGTTGATATAAATCACGTTCAAACCAGCATGAATACAAATAAAAGAATGTGCCACTAAATAATACAATGAACTGATGGCAGAAAATTTTAAAAAAGACCACAGGGGAGACTTTTCTGTGATCAGTGAAGGAAAAAAAAAGTGCAGGCGAGTACTGCAACTCTTGCTATCACAGACACAATGGAAATGTTTCTGCTGCTATGTAGATTAAAAAAAAAATCTATCCACAGTGTCGGTGAATATTGATGTCAAAAGGTGGAGGCAATTTAACCTTTGATAACTTATTTTGAGATGCCCGAGCATGCTCGGTAGATAAGCAGGTCAGTGAAGGAAAAAAAAAGTGCAGGCGAGTACTGCAACTCTTGCTATCACAGACACAATGGAAATGTTTCTGCTGCTATGTAGATTCAAAAAAAAAATCTATCCACAGTATTGGTGAATATTGATGTCAAAAGGTGGAGGCAATTTGACCTTTGATAACTTATTTTTAGATGCCCGAGCATGCTCGGTAGATAAGCAGGCGGATTGATGGATGAACATATTTTAAGTTAAAGCAGCGACTAAACGATTGTGGTAACTTACTATCTGCATTTACGGACGGACAGTAGGGGACAGAAAAGGACCTTCCCCAAACTGTTCGAACCAAAATTGAATGACAAACATGAAGAAGATTCGGGGGGCATTAAAAGGGGTCTACTCCATCGCATGATTGATTCTTAAATCTACTCAGAGGTATGACTCACCAAGCTCCAAACTCTATTTAACCAGTTATACCAATTAAAATGAATTGGAATATCATAAATTGATTCCAACTCCCAAAAAGAGGAAAGAACAAGGCTCTGTAGAGTATAAAAATTTGCGATTAAGGAAGGAGATGATACCCAAACAAGGCTCAACTAGAGAGGAAGGACATGTGACATGCCAAGGCCCCAACTCGTCATCAGAACTCCCTCCATTTATCTAATCTGCTTCTCCTCACAACGGTCGCAGGCGTGTTGGAGCCCATCCCAGGTGACTTCGGCCAGTAGGCAAGATACACCCTGAACTGGTCGCCTGCCAATCACAGGGCACTCACAATGGCACCGAGGGACAATTTAGAGTTTTCCATTTGTCTGCCACGCATGTTTTTGGAATGTGAGAGGAAACTGGAGTACCCAGAGAAAACCCACGCAGGCACGGGGACAACATGCAAACTCCTTACAGGAAGGCCGGAGCTGGAATCGAACCCTGCATCTTCGCTCTGTGAGGCCATCTAAAGAAAACCATCATGTGCTGCATTCACGCCACCAATCACACAGAACATCTACCGTGGTCTGGTCTCATTTTGGGACAGAAGGAAAATATGAAACATGAGTTTGGTATGGGGTCAACAACCCCACAAGTGGGGAATATATGGTCGGCGTAAGTAACGAGAAGCCAGAGTAGAGAGGGGTCATTTTGACCTGGCTGTGTCACTCTACAAAAACACGTTGACATCAGTGAGTTCCTTTCCTTGTATGTCAAGGTACCACTGTTCTTGTAAGAGAGTTATTTAAAAAAAAAAAAAAAAAAAACGAAAAAACAAGAGGGTTAAGAAACTACTTTCATTGATGACAATCTGCTTAGGCCCTCCCCTTTAAGAGTGTTTGGCCAATCACAGCTTTGCAGTCCTATCAACCACATTATAGAGCTGCGCGCGTGTGAGCGGCGATCGAACCGACTGCCAGGGGGGAGGGCTTGGCGCAGAGTCCCGCCCCCGCCCCATTTACCCGTCGCCCCTCCCACCCAGCAGCCCAGCACTCACCATCCTCCGTGGGCACGTAGACGTTGAGATAGAGGCAGTCCTCGCTCTGGTTCTGGATGTAGCCGGCCGCGACGTCCAGGTTGTCGGTGAACCACACAGGCAGCATGATCTCAGGCAGCACCCCGTGCACGTTTTGGGGGCACACGGGGGCAAACTGGGTGGCGTTGCGGACCTCCTGCCACGAGCCCGGGGCTTCGGGCGGCTGAAAGCGGCGGTCGCCAATGGGCGCCGTGGCGTAGGGCACGCCCAGGTACTGCTCCACCGGCCCCAGGATCTCGTTGTTCAGGTCCTTCTTGATTCCTCGGAGCTTGCCGTAGTTGGTAGTGACTACAGGTTGCTTGGAGGGCTCCACTTTTTGACCGCAGGCCACGTTTAAGAGAAGGGCGAGGCCCAGCGGCACGCACCAGTCTGCCATGAGGGAGGTTTGTCTTTTTCGTTCACTTGCACGTCGAAAGAGGTGCATGGCTGCTTACAGAATAAGCAAAAAGTCGGAGTCCAAAGGTGACTGACGAAAACAATGAGCGGGGATTCGCAGGGCAGGCCTCCGCGGGGGTGCCAGGTCAGTGCTGAATACGAGCCAAGGCTGTCCCAATCGCTTCCCCAGCCACGGTTCTGTTACGTTCCATCCCTCTAGGTCCCGTCCCGGTGATTTCATCGACGTCTGCACCTGCATTGAGATACGAGACCGAAAAAAAAAAAAAAAAAAGAGTGATTAGCTGAGATCTCCGAACGTACGACATCTTCCCTGAAAGGAGACGAGCTTAGCTCAACTGGGTTCATTTAAGGGAAAATCCTTTTGGTGCACAGCACCGTGATGACTTTGCATGAGCCGAAAATAAATCCGGCCATCGGTATGGTGTCACGTGACCCGGGGAACCTCCCGCAGAGTGAGTTCACTCTGCCGCCGCCTGTGCTTTTACGCACCACGGGCCTAATTTGGGATTCATTTAAACTTGTCCCGGTGTAACCTGCGCGAGGACGGCACTAACACCCAAAAGTAAATACAACTCCAAAGGTTGAGATATTGCTCAATCTCCCCCGTCAACGGTAAACAATACGGGGGTGGGGGGGCATTTTAAGCGGCTTTGTTTGTGGCAACACGCATGCACAGGCGCATGCAAATGAGCGCCTCGGAGCTGTACATCCATTCATGTAATCTTCGGTGCAAATCCTCATGTGACACAGCCCGTCACAAATGCAAGGAGGAGATTACAGTGTCATAATAACATTGTTGGGTGCTTACGCAACGGCGCGGGATGCGGGAACAGCCATTCGCAATGTTTAGTGTGCGACGAGAGCTCTTTTCCCATTGCCACGCTCTCTCTTTGCTTTATCTTCCGACTTTAATTGCCTAATTTAAAGTTGCCATTAAGCGCATAATTGCATCACCCGCACCCACCGGAGCAACTTTACGTCGTCGTCTTCAGTCCCCTTCTGCCCATTTCCACGCTGCCAAGCGAACAGTTTGCATTTAAAAGTCCAACGTCCTGAGGAGGGATGGAGCACTTTTTTTTTTTTTCCAGACCCGACACCAGCATGAGAATTCACTCTTTGAGTACCGTATTTTCCACACTAAAAGGCGCACTGGATTATGAGGTGCAACTTCAATGAATGGCCGATTTTGTAATTTTTTTCATACAGCGGGCGCATTATAAGACGTAATCTACAATGCCTCCACTAGATGGAGCTACGCTCAAGGAAACACAAACAGAACGATCAGATGTCAGTAAAACGTATTTAAGAAAGCAGCGACACAGTTCACGTAACCAACAGCAAGTTATAACTTTGACTCGTTAACGTTGAACTCTCTTGCCGCTGCTCTATTTCCGTGTTCAACTGCGCAACCGGATCGCCTTAAGTTTGAACTCTGCGTTGTCAGCATGTCTCGAGCAAGGAGCCATTTTGGGGTCGAAATATTACCGAAATGACCATACACAAGGCGCATCGGATTTTAAGGCGCGCTGTGAGCTCTTAAGAAAATGGAAGGCTTTTAGGTGCGCCTTTTAGTGCGGAAAATACCGTACTCACAAATAGTGAGTACCGATACCGCTGGTATTTTTTTAGGTATAAACTTCATTTGACACAATGACATTGACATTGTGAACAAAAGACTTCATACAGCGCCAACTACTGCTGAGGAGGACTTACTCCATGCCAGCTTTTTTTTTTTTTGCCTCAAGCTGGTATCGGCAGCCTCCATAAGTACTCGATTCTTTAAAACAAGCCTCATATGGGCCCAATAGAATACTCGGTATCGGTAGGAGAATAATTTAAGGCCTCTCACCCACTCGGGTGGCTAATTTCTGCCATTTACAATCACATTTCTCCTGCACAGGAAGGAGGGGTGTCCTCTAGCCTCAAAAACAAACAAACCAAAAAAAAAAAAAAGAGGTTTGGGCTCATTGAAGCTTAAAACCCGCGGTGTGCGTTTGGTACAGTGCGTTCAGCCGAAATGCATCTGCAGCACCTGCTTTTGGTTCTCCTTGCATTCCCCTCGCTGACAAGCAAGCAGAAAGAAGACAAATCAAAAAAAAAAAAAAAAAAAGGGGCCAAGCTTTATTTTATAATGCAGTGTCAGTCTGACTGCAAACTTGCAGGGTGCATCTGAGGTTTTCAATGCAAACCGGCTCAATCTAGCAGACAGAATTGATCCAGCTTGTGTGCTCGCAGTGGGCAAGCATAAGTGATTGATGAGGCAGGGACGCAGGGACGAAGATGGCGGACCCGAGAGCTCGGCTTTTGCTGCCAAAACCTGAAAAGGAAGATTCCAGAAGGGGATTGTGCACTCGAAAGTAGGTCCACAAATGTGACACAAAAGCGCACAAGTGGGTGCACCTTTGGTTGACCTTTCGCCGAGCTCTTGTCGTCGCAGGGCCGCCTCCGGTTGACGCCGTGCATCGCAATCAATTTCACCGCACCCTGATTCCATTGCTACGGGGCTGCGAAGGTGGAACGTGTTTTGAGATGCTTATTCAAAGCGTCACCATGGTAACCGCACCATGCTAAGGTGAAACCTTAGCACGGTGCATTATCCGTGGATGTTTTCAAAAAAGTAAGAAGTCGAGTTTGACAAAGTCAGGCATAGAAAGCACAGACACCTGATTTCAAATGTTGAGAGTAAAAGTCAAAAGTCAGCAGAAAATGAATCCTCAAGACAGGTACAAATACCGAAAAAAAAAGCATTGCACGGGGACGCCAAGTATTTGGGCCTAACCGATTAATCGACCGATGACTTTATTATGCTGCCCCCTGGAGGCCCACTAGAAGCAGCAGCACAATAAATTGAATTGAAGCATAAAATCCCGAGCGTTTCATTATTTATATTCAATTTGATGTCATTACTCTACAATTTAATGTTCATTATTTTCATTGGCACACTCACACAAAAATAAAGCGACATTCCAAAACTGCGACAATACTGGACGTTTTTATAAAGTGCAATATTTGACATCTTGATAAACAGGCGGGTCTCCTCTTTCCGAAGGATATATTCCATTTTGGGGTTAAGAAGGTGTAGCCTCCTCTTTCCAATTACTGCACCGTCCACACCTCAAGGCGAAGCGAGCCAGTTGGCAAACTCGGCAATGTTAATCACACACCATTTTGCGTCTCCTGCTGTTTAGCCCAGCCTCTCCCTCCCTCCCTTCCCCCCCCTTCCTCCCTCCTCTCTTTTCTCCCCCATCAGCCGCCAAGCTCAGCAGCAACTGGCGAGCTTGCTCAAAGGCACAGCAAGCCCTCGTTTTCGCGTCGCTCGCATGATGTGTTTTACAGTCGCGGGGATGCTTATTTGTTTTGCCAAATGAGCAGCCTCCCTCGACTCGTTTGGATTCTCCTTTTTGTTTTAGTCTTAAGAAATGGCGACTCAATGCCTTAAAAAAGAATACAAGGTGTCCCAAAAGCCACAACACACTTCTTTTTTTTGCCCAATTTTGTTTCAGGTATCATTCGGACAGACAATTGAATTCCCTTGCCTGTGGTTTGCCAATTAACACGAGGCCAGCGTTTGCAAAAGTGCCGTTAGCAAGACATTTTTCAATGCCAGTTTGAAAAGGGATCTGGCCGACACACCGCTCTGACGCGTCGTACGATTGACGCGATCCATGGCAAATGTCTCCAAAGAGGATTTGTTTTTGACAAACCACAAAGCGGACGGTCTGCTACGACCATGACTGATGAAAACTGTGAAATCCTTGAGCAGGTGTTTGCTCAAAGCCGGAGAAAGTCTCTCCGGAGGGCTTCGGATGCTTCGGTCAGTGATAAAGCTTGACCTGTCGCCGAGGTTATTACAGTTCACAAAAACGAATAAAAATTATTTTCCAAACCAAAACGGCGTCTTACGTTTATAAAACTAACTATAATTATGGTAAAAATGTCCTTGGTTTTCATCATTGTCCACCGTGAATATCATACATGAGCTTGAGGGGCTCATTTCAAATGTATTTATTTTCGTATTGCTGTACGTCCGTACAGATGAAGGAAGGTCCAACACTTATTTGACAGTTTTAGTTGACTTGAGCTTACACGATCCTTACTGAGCTTCTTTTTTTTTTTTTCCATCGTGCACTCAACAAACACTTCGTCTTAAAAAAAAACTAAAACTAATACTAAAACTACTAAAAACAACTAAAACGAGGCATTAGTGAAAAAAAAATACAAAAACGAATAAACATGAACCGTTGGGCTCTAAAAACTAACTGAATTTAAAAAATAAAAAGTCAAAACCAAATAAAAAGCATACAAACCCAATGTACTCAATGCTCACTGCAATGTACGGTATAAAAGAGGCCAATGGTTACATATTTATGTTTTGCTCTTCAATTAAAAAACCAACCACCCCACCCAAAAAAAAAAAAAAAACATATACCCTGATCCTAATCCGCCAAATAAATCCTTGTTAGAGCGCGTTGAGTAAATCGTCGCAATACGGCTAACAGCCAATTTATCGGAAGTGGCTGCAATGACTTGGATGAAGATCAAATCATTTGAGCCAAGCAAAGGTTGGATGCGTCATCTCGTAGTCAATTAGCACCCCCCCCCACCCCATTTGCTGCAGTTGGCCGTAATTAATGTGTGAGCGGCCTTTAATTAGCACTGAGGCTGCCTGACATTCGTCACTGCCACTCTCAGACTGAGACTTCACCACGGGTACTCAGATGCATACGTGCTGTGTTGCTCCTGCGTGGATAAAGAGAGAGTCCAGTGGCATTCCGGCAGAACCGTGTGTGCCGGCACACCGATTAAAAGGTTAAAATGGTGCTTAGCAGGCCCAACCGTGGGTAACTCGGCGCAGGCGGGAGTGCGTTGTGTGCTCGACCATCACTGAGAACAATTAACACGGCGACAGCTGCAGCCGCTGTGACGGGGCACGTTGTCAAACCGGCTGGTCCAGACGGCCGAAGAAGAGACCAGCGCACCCTCCCTCAGCAAATACATCATCGGATTAAGCTTTCTGGTCCTGATTTAAATTTAGCACCTCGACGTGCGGGAAAAAAAAACCACACACTTTTATGTCACGCCTGTAAAAATCTCTTCACGCAAGAGGTCGGTTGTTCGTTAGCACCCCTGACGTCTCTGACGAATTGACTCCTTTATACGAGTGGAAGTGTGAACGGGGAGGGCGGGCGGCGAGCGTCGTCGCCTTCTCGTGCTCCAAAGGAGGATGAAAGT